GAATTCAGTACAAATCCTCGGTACATAAAGAATAACATAAGTAGCCCATTCCATTCCCACGGGACCCCGAGATCTGTGTTTGAAACGTAGTGAAGGAAGAGAAAGCAACGAAGTTATGAAGACGTCCATCCATTTACCCTCGGTCGTTTTAGGGTTCCGTACCCAAAGGGTAAAACGGGACCCTATTAGTAAGACTCCACTGTCGGTCTGTCTGTCTGTCACCAGACTGTATCTCATGAACCTTGATAGTTAGACAGTTGAAATTTTCACATATTATGATGTATTTCTCTTGCCGCTATAACAACAAATACTAAAAAACAGAATAAATAAATATTTAAGTGGTGCTCCGACACAACACACGTGGTTTTTTTGCCATTTTTACAGATAATAGTTCTGAACGTTTCGCGCGCGATTCCGGCTCGCACTTGGCCGGTTTGTTGTTAGCTTTTCGCGAGATATTCGCGACGTGTCTAACCTGACGGTGTGGCATAAATCAGGGAATGTATTAGCGAATCTGGTCCGTATTGCCACAGAGAGATCGCGTTTTGCCGCGCAATTGGGCTTTCGACGCATCTACGCAGTACGCACGGCCCGCCACCCAGTGGGGGGAGGGGGAACGACGTCATCGACGCGCCTTCTGACGTCACTAATACGCAAGGGTCGTTTCCCGTTACAGTCTGGAGCGCTATCAAGACTGCTGCTCGATTGCTTCGGCAATTTGGGATACTGTTTTATTATTATTTCCGAAATGAAAGTGTAAATTAAATCTCATGATTTAAACGAGAAATTTGAATAATGGGGCATCCCCTACCAACGGTAAGTCGTTTGTGGACTACAACTTCAAACAAATTCTTGAGGCGGCTCATTCATGCAGGAATATGTATAGTGTATACAATATGGCTGCGTGGGTTAGCTACAGTAATATACAGTTGTGTTAACATTATAGTACGACGGTACTAATGTAATAGTAGGATTATTGAGTCTTGATAGTTCAGTGTCCAGGCGCTCGATTTTAATTAGTTATGAGTTCAATACCGGTGCCTTCACCAATGTAATTGTAAACTTTACGTACTCAGCGATGAAGGAAAACTCATATTTTCGAAATAATATGTTTTTTTTAAATGTTATTTCGATAATAAATTAATTCGAAGATTTTTGAAGTTTTGCAATCCACAGCGGGGTTGCGTGGTGGACTATTCCTTAATACCCTGAGAATATCGTGCTGAGGATGGCTGTTAATCGTACTTTACTTTTTACTTTAGTATTATTTAACTGTATTATTTACCTCGATGGGGCAGTTGCTATCATTGGATTAGGCAGGGGGGGTCGTAGGTTCGATTCCCACTCGGGACGAGTATTTGTGTGATCAACAGCGAATTGGTCCGGATCTGGATATTCGGTCTCAAGAAGAGTTGACGTCAAATCTAGCCAATACAACTAATCATGATTCACGTGCTCTTACGACAGCGCCTAGGTGGGATAAAGGTAGGAGGTAGAAGGCAATCTACGGTGGTAGGGCCACGCAGCAGCCTCGGCTGTTGCACGAATGGGCAGGCCCGTCCGGGTAAGTACCTCGACCTCACAGAAGACCAGCGTAAAGTGGAAGTATGACAAATACTTTCACGTTTCGTCTGGTGAGTAAGGTAGCCGGAGCCCAATTATCAAAAGGTTGTCAACGCATCTGGAACCCTCGTGTATAACAGATGTCCAGGGACGGCGGTATTCACTACCATCAGGTGAACCGTCTGCTCGTTTGGCAACTTTTCACATAAAAAAAAAGGAGAAAGGATAAGATATAACTGTAACGTAACGTAACGTATTCTGCGACACTCCAAAGTAATTACACGTCGCTTTAAGGCGTCTGCGGGAGACGAAATTAATTATGGCCCTGCCTACACACATTCTGAGAATTCGCGGCTCGGAATGCGATCAGAGGTTAACCTTCACCCTAACCTTTAGAGACTTTCAAAGTTGCGAACTCGACAGGCAGCCCTCTTTTGTTTCAGACGCTACAACACTTCAATCGTGTAACCGCTCACATCCATTACGGAATAGACGGTGGCAATTAAAACGAGACGTCGAGAAACTAGATCGTTTTCAATTCGAATGTCAACCCAGGCGCACGTGCATATTAATTTTAAACTGTTACCACGCGACCTTGACAGAACCTCGTTATAGTGTGTTTGTAAAATTCTTTCAATTTGAAACGTTGTTATAGGAGCTTTCGACCCAAATTCTTTGCTTTCATTCCGCCCGGTAGTAGCCGTGACAGCTCATTGTCTGGAAGCTCTTTTTAATAAATATATTTTTAAAATTTATTTTTTTAAATATTAATAAATTAATTTTTATTAAAAATATTTTTGAAGCTACGAGTATACGAAGTCCGACATAAGCATAAGCTCTAATACCCCCTGTTTAGAGGACGCCTTTGCCCAGCAGTGGGGCATATACAGGCTGTTACTTTACCCTATCTATTCCTCCCGGTAAATTTTACAGTTGAATTCTGTACGCAACTTTAATAAGATGTGGTGATGTTGCCATGCAATTAAGTTTGTTTTCTGGATTCAAACTTGGATCTCTTAGAAACTCAAGTATGTGTTCACTAACCAAAGATAGAATCTAAGTATATACACGTTTAAGATACTAACATAACGTTCTTAGATAATTATGTACATGTAGTTAATATGCATTTAAACCTATTTGGCTATCGACTCTTAAATAACTTACGGCTGGCTATTCCCTGATTGTGTTATTAGCATAGCGAATTGGAAACGCCTTTGAAGAACGTCTGATTAAGTCAAAAAGTGCGTTGTAAAAGAACGAATTCGATGTTAACACTGCAGTAACTTCAAAACTTCATCTAAGAGTCGCCGCCTTCAATGAAGCCGACGTCTGTGTGTTATTTGTGAGATAGGTAATGATGTGCCCGTTTAGTATCGATAGATTTTCGAACTACACCCTACACAGAAACTTGGCGGTGCGGTGCTGGTCTTTCGATGGATGGCAACACTACTGGATACTTCTTGCCGGTCTTCTGTGAGCCTGTCGTTATTTTTTTTGTTTGGCGTGACTTAGGAGTATACCAGATCTAAATGCAGCTGCGCCATGTCTTATGCGAATTTAGAGGCAACTAAACTTCCCAAATAAAAATAAATGACCACTTGCTCTCAAAATATCTCGGATGGCATTTACTGTCTAGAACGCTATGGAGATCAGGGAAGATCCGGACAGTAACTAGCTCATGGAAAAGTAGACTTTATTTACACGCATATTAGAACACAAATTTGCAAGGCTATAATGACTCCGTGCGCATTATCTCAGCTGACCTGTATACACGTCTACAACAAAAAAATAATACAGTAAATGAGTACCTTCTAATTTTATCGATAACGCGTCTAGGTTATAGAATGTCCCAATTTATATAACTTGTAACGGCGAAAGTTTTCTTCTTTGGTAATAAATGTTAATTATCTGAATTGGTATCGACATAATGTTGTCTTTCCTGAGCCTGAAAACTGACTTGAAACACAATCAGTCACGAACAGTATATAAGCAAGTAACGAATAGTACTTGAGTGTAGAGAAAAACTCTGAAGTGTTGTCCGTTTGCAGATATCGATATCGATGAAGGATACCAAGCAGTTATTGATAGTGGTAAATTTAAATTACAAGTAGGTAGCACTGAAAAAATCGTTCACGTGATGGTAAAAAACTTATTTGGATGGACTGTGTGAAGAATGAAACGGGTCAGTATTGAAATGACCGCTGATAGTGGAAAGTGGAATGAAAGGGCATATTCTGCCGAACCTCACCTTGTGTGGGAGAAGGGCAGGAGAGAGAAGAGAAGAGAGAGATGGATAAACATCAAGTTTATCAAGTTAAATCTCTTTTAAAAGGAGTGTAGTTTAAATATTTTTAAAAAGTATTTTTTTTATTTAATACAAATTAATTATAATGATTTAAAAGTACATTGAACTAACGTTATCTTAATGATCTGGATCATTTTAAAACACCTAAGTGGGCAGATTTTATAACTAAATGAAATAATCACGTAGTCGATTATTCGATTTGTAAAACATGCCAGTACAAAAGGCAGGGAAGTATCGATATGCGAGACACATCCCCAGCGGTAATGGTGTGGGGTTTTATTTAAAGCAGCCACCCCAATCCCGCCCCCCTTATAACTTAGCGCTGCTTAGGCCACTCGCCGCTCGGCCGGACGCAGTTAAGTTACTACAGTCTGTTCCCCTCAAACAACTTAAAATGTTTGCGGCAACGGCTACGCCGCGAACTTACGATTGTTGAACCGCGTAGGCAACTTTAGAGCCAACAGGGTACTTTTGTGTTCTTTATTCAGTTCCGAACCGTTGTCCATAAGATTATGCGTTCATTACATACTAGCTGCTGCCCGCGACTACGTCTGCGTAGAACAGGCTGAAGGCGTAACATTCAGACACAATGACAGATATACATAAAAATATGAATATAAATTATAGCCCATGTGTTATTCTGATGTATAAGCTATATTATTGTAAAGTATCATTAAAATCCATTGAGTAGTATTTGCGTGAAAGAGTAACAAATATTCATACATACATACACACTTTCGCCTCTATAATATTATAAAGGACAAACTATCACGCTTTCCAACCATTGCGTGGTGACAGACATAGTAATTAGACACAGTAATTCTTGAAAAGTGATTGTAAACTAATCGCTTTATCATCATCATCAACATCAGCCGCAAGGCGTCCACTGTTGAACATAGGCCTCCCCCGTAGAACAAAACAAAAAAAAAAAAAAAAAAAAGAACGCCACTACAAACGACCCTTTGCCATTCGCATCCACCGGTTGCTAGCGACAAATTACAGAAATAAATGTAAAAACCCATCGGTTCACACAAACTGAGACTATACTGCGAGTATTACTATAGTGTGGGTGAGATAGGAGTTCCCGAACTATTTTTAGATTTCCATCACCACCTACGCGTTCTCCTAGCGGATGAATATTCTCGAAACAATCGTAATATTCCCGGATTTAATGTCGGAGATGAAAACGGAGAGCATAGGCGCGTTTACGGCGAACGGCTTACGAGTCGCTGCAGCCCTGGGGGAGGGCGGCTGGCGGGGTGGCGTACGGCGGTGTGGGGTTCTATTCCCGGAGCCGCGTGGGCGAATCCGCTGCGGCTATTTGGATCATGCTAGGTGTTCAGCGAGCCTTGTATGAGGGCCGCGAGTGGCCTTGAACTTTGTTTTGTAAACACGTTTCGAGCGCAGCGCTCCTGAAATTTTCGTTGGTTTACTCTTTGGCGGAGGTTAATTAACGAGAGGTTTAATTTGGGCGGCGAGCCTAAAAGCCTGTATGCAAATCCCAAACGAGGTACCCGAGCCTTTACACGCTGTCGAAATTATCTAGTTCCTGTTGCCGAGGTAGAAGCTGGAATCTCCTTTATATTTATATATTTATAAGGCTGTATCGATATATAGTTTGATATTTTTATTTCTTTAAAAAAAAATTGCCCTTACCGTAACGTCCTTGCAACACTGCATAACGTTATACTCAATAACGTTATCTAGTGTTGCCTTATTGACGTTTTACAAACACAAATTTCACGTGGACCATCACCCAGATGCGAAACAACTATCTCTGGGTCACACAAATAGTTGTCCCGTGTGCGGATCGAACCCACGACCCCCGATGCTTAAGTCAAAACCTTGGCTTGGATTAGTGTTATTTCAATAATGTTAAAGCTGATCATAACAGTCACTATGTACACTAAAAGTTGTAAAATCTTGAATGCCTGTGGCGAAAGCATTAGTGATAAGTCGGAAAAACAGCTTGATTGATACTCTCTATAGATGTTTATATGGTTGCTGTTTTGTGTTTGTATGTTACTTTTTATTTATTACTAATATGTATGGATCGTGGTCCCTAGTGAACAATTTTTATTTTATTGATCAGGCAGACTATATGGCTTTCTTTACATAATATCAATAAAGTCTAGATATTTTTTATTATAAATAGATGGACTTTAGGACAGCAAAAATGATAAAAATGTGGCATCCTGACTATCCGTGCTCACTTGATTCGTTGCAGTGCAAATTGCATCAGCTGTCTTTTTCTAACACATGAAGGTAATACGTAAGCAGCTGTCACACAGAGAGACATCGACTAACAAATTCTACAGAATTTAATTATCGGCTCTCGTCCCATTAAAAAGCTTTTAGAGGGGCCGAATTTCCCTCTCGGGGGAAAACAACAGTCAACACCGATCGCTGACAAACGAAAGAGACAAGTCAACGTCGTGTCTAATAAAGACTTCTTTGGGGTAAATTCGGTACCCATTACAGAACCTCCGTTTACTTCCTAAGCTACTTCGATACAATTTACTTTTTTACAATGAACATTTTACCGCGAAAGAGTTACTATTACACCATTATATTTAAAGAAGTAGTTCACCACTAGAAGTAACCGAGCGACGTGGAAATTTCGGATGCTTTCATAAACTATAGACAAAATAAAAACCGTCCGAGTTGCCTCGAAGTGCGGGCCGGACTAAGAACCAGTGTCAGGATCAGAACGAGTTTTAGTTTCTGTTTCTCAAGTACTGAATTCCATCCGTTTCAAGGTCTTATGCTGCTACACAGACCTTCACTTATTTTTTTCTTATTTTTGTTGTTATGTTTAAATTTATTTTAAATTTTTCCAAATATTATCACTACATAGTATAAAACAAAGTCCTCCCGCTGTCTCTCTGTCCCTTTGTATGCTTAGATCTTTAAAACTACACATCTTGGATCTTGAAGCGGATTTTTTTTTTGATAAATAGAGTGATTCAAGAGGAAGGTTTATATAATGTGTAGTTACATTATTCTCAAAGTTTTGTATAATGTATCCATTGTGATGAGACCGTGAATAAACGTTTCTTCTTCTTGTTTTAGTTTTTTTTAAAAAAAGTCATCGCCATTTACTTTAGGATAACATTATCCTGTGTTGTAAGGACGTTTTACAAACATAAATTTCACTTGGAATGAAAAAATACACCCAGATGAAAAAACACAAACAACTATATTCTGAAACACGAACCCACGACCCTCGACGCCGAAGCCAGTACCTTGGCAACTGCGCCACGGAGTCAACATTATTTATTGTGTGTATCGTTTATATTTACAAATGAAAGCGATACAGTGCTCTAACCGTAACGGCGATATAACCTAAAATACCATTAAAAAGAGCACATTTCATGTATGTATTTATGTATTTCATCAGTTTCTATGAGGGTTTTGTTCATTGACGTGATTTCTATTGAGCTATCACTTCATTTCAATATTTTAGATTTAGAACCATTGTAAAAAGCGGCGCGAATTTGAAACGATCCTAAGGTTGTCTTTGTTCCTCAAAACAAATTTCTTCATTTAATATTCAATTGAAATTAGAAACTCCTCGTCTGGAACAAAAATTAATATGCAAAGTAGTTAACAGAAACTGCTTTTTCTACGACGTTTATTTAAGAATATGACAAAGCCCCTGTAAGCGTAAGAAGCTTTAGAGGCTTCAAAGAAAATATGTTTTCGTTTAACACTTATTGAATTTCGATTGATTTCAAACACAATTAAAGGTACTTACTTTAAATAACAAGGAACCTATTCTTATAACACATTCTATCATTTTTAGGGTTCCATACGCAAAGGGTAAAACAGGACCCTATAACTAAGACTCCGCCTGTCTGTCTGTCGGTCTATCTCATGAACCGTGATAGTTGAAATTTTCACAGATAGTGTATTTCTGTTGTCGCTATGCAAGGCAAATACTAAAAAACAGAATAAAAAAGATTTAAGTGGGGCTCACATACAACAGACATGATTTTTTTGTAGTTTCTATAGATAATGTTACGGAACCCCTCGTACGTGAATCCAACTCGCACTTGGCCGCTTATTAAATATTATCACTCGTACCGTGTACAATACAAAAATAAGAACTTATTGCATTATTAAAATATGTTTTAAGCAACTTAACAAGTGATCGTGTGAGACAATACCACGTTTATTCTAAAATCGGATCGGAAGGATAAAATAACTAAAGGTAGTACATAATTATTATAGAAAGTATTCGCGGGGATTTATTGTTATTTGTAAAACCTAACAAAGTGCGTCGTAGGGAATTAATGTGTTCTATTTTGTTTGGTCGTTTTAAAAAGGGTAAGTCTACACTAAGTATTGTTATTTACGGGCCCCCGGGAGTACGGGAGTGTCTTTGTTGCGGTTTTTTGCAATAACCATTTCCATTTCAGCGCTGGCTCTCGTATTTAATTATACGTTTTAACTCCAATTGAAACGGGGCCGTTCGTTGTTATTCAAATATGGCGGCAATTTGTGGATTTGACGGGTTTAATTTTAATTTTAATCTGGAGGAGGATTGAAAAAGTTTTCAATCAAATACGTGTTTAGCTCCTCTTAACGATTTGAGCTTAGTAATTTAGTTACAATGGTAACTAACTGCTCTATTTTCCGGTTATTTCGTTGTCAAGCAACTTGAATTTCATTGAGTTATTTTCGCTGTAATTTTAACTGTACGGTATCAATATTGGAAAAGTTTTCTAATTAATTGTCGTAATAACGTGTCAGAATTTAATATGAGGTGTATTCAGCAAAAGACCGGGAATATCTATTCCGGGAAATTTATTTCGATTCAAATCAAAAATTTCACAGAATAAATCTTAGCAAGAATAATTGGAACGGCATTTTACGAGGTGTAGTAACACACTAGGATGTGTGGAGCTGTCTTTTGCTTTACACTCGGAGATTACCCCGCCGCAGTAAGCGCTATTACTATATACATTATTGTATCATAAAGTATCATAAATGTTTAAATGTATAATGAAGGTAAAATGGCATTGCGACTGCGAAAATTATTGTTTGTTCATTTCCGTATTGTTTTTAATGGATGAATCTTTCATAAGAGCACGAAGAAAGCTTAAGTGAAAAAAACCGTTTCTATTAACATGTATTTTATTACTCGCTGGCCAGTCCTTGACTATAATTTCACCTGATATTAGGTAAAGATGTCAATAAATTTGAAGATTTTACTAACATTATTTATTTGAAGGTGTAACTAATCGACAAAATATAAACAGAAAAAAAAAATAGACATGCTAATGCCTTGGTATATTTCCATGGCATCAAAAACGAGTCCGAAAATGACCAATAAAATCATAACCATGAAGTGAACAGAAATTTGTACTTTCCATTACTTTAATGTAAGGATTACGCACAGCTTTATTTTACACTTACGTTCGATACTAACACAGTACGCTCTATATGATTCTTAAAGTGTTATCCGTAAAGTACACACTCGCTTCTTAAATTACATTATGTAAAAATAACTTGACTTCATAAGCCGCAGGATTAAAATAACGAAAGTTACTCGCGAGCCTCATCAATAATTTATGTTGTAGCCGCCAGTTCTCAAACTAATAAATATAATTTGAATATATTTTCATAACTTTAGAGATAATAATAACGAAAACGTTTTCGGAATACCATCACAAATGGGTTAATGTGCTTTCATACATTTTATTACATGTAACGTAATAAAAATATGATAATGTGTCAACTTTGCTAATAGTGCACTATAATTGTTTTTAATAGGAGTAGTGGTCCATTTATGTACTATCTACTAATATTTACTATCGCTACCCTTGAGTTTTAAAATTATATCAGTTGTCACGTGCTCAGCGGTGAAGGAAAACATCGTGGGGACACCTGCATATTTTCGAAATAATAACAAAAAAAGTATTTCGAACATATGTGAAGTCCGCCAATCCGCAATGTACCGCGTGGTGGACTATGCCCTGACACCCTGTACAGAGGAGGACTTTGACAGTTATGTGCAAATTATTAATTTTTAACTAAGATTAAGATTATTAAATCTCATTTATTTCTAGCGATAGCATCACACATGCACTTAGCTAAGTAACACTTAGCTAAATAACAATAATGAAAACTAATCCCTTTAAACATTCCCAGATTAAATGGGAGCGGTGAGGAAACGAAAAAAGGATACATGCAAACGAGAGCATTAAAGAGGGAGATAGCACGATTTCTCCGCCCGTTATTAAATTAAGTTTCTTCGGTAATTATATTAAAAGCTGCCTGTTACCTGCTGCCGTTCCCGGCTAAAATGGTGGCTAGTTTCACCTTATTTTAATGTAATCTGAACATTTT